GGTGGGTCCTCACTCCCTGCCCCTCCCCCGCAGGACACCCTCTGGAGCTGTCCTGAGCCCTGGATGGGTGCCTGTGGGTGGAGGTTGAGTAGGTGGCATGCTGGGGACACAGCAGGAGAGCTGGGAAGGGCCGAGGAGAGCCTGGGGGTGGTTACTACCCGGTACCCACCAACTGCTCCGTCAGAGTACTGGGTCCAGGAGCTCCTGGAGATCCTACCTTTTCCACTCGTGCTCGGGGCCACCCTAACCTACACATACCGCCGCTGCCAGCCCGGCAAGCCCCATGGTTCCCTGGTAAGTGCATGCACATTTGCACACACACACACACACACGTGCATACCCACACACGTACATACGCGCACACGTGCATACCCACACACATGTGCATACCACGCATGCATGCCACACATGCATGCATACCACCCCATACACATGCATACGCACACATGCACACACTCCTATGAGCCTGGGGTCAGGATGGGTAGCCAGAGCCCACTCGGCCTGATGCAGAGAGGAGCTGGGCGAGTGCTGGTGTGTGTGTGTGTGTGTGTGTGTGTGTGTGTGTGTGTGTGTGTGTGTGTAGAGCAGTGGTTCTCAACCTGTGGGTCGCGACCCCTTTGGCGGTCAAACGACCCTTTCACAGGGGTCGCCTAAGACCATCCTGCATATCAGATATTTCCATTACTATTCATAATAGTAGCAACATTACAGTTATGAAGTAGCAACGAAAATAGTTTTATGGTTGGGTCACAACATGAGGAACTGTATTTAAAGGGCCAGAAGGTTGAGAACCACTGGTAGAGGAACCCAAGTGAAGCTGGACCAGCATCCAGGTCCAGGAGCCCTGCCTGGCTGCTGGTTAAGCTCTCTTGTCTCTCAGCAGATGGAGCCGGGATGGAGGCCCTGACCACCCTGCCGGTGAGAATCCCAATCACGTTCTGGGTGAGGGTGAGCCAGTGCCCAGGCCTCAGCCTTCTGGAGCTCAGAGGTCGGGCCTTATCAGAACTCCCAGTGCCCAGGGCGTGGCTGGCATGGAGTAGACCTAACAAACACGTGTGCCAGGTTATCAGGGAATGAGGGCAGCACGGGCCTGGCCTCAGGCGGTGGCTCTCGGGAGGCTGCGGTCCTCAGGTTAACAGGTGCTAACCGTTCAGGGGGACGATGCCACCATGGCAAGGGCAGGGGCTGGGGACTCCAGCAGAGGACACAGCTCTCCCGTGGGGCCGGGTGAGAGGACATGGCCCGCCCAGAGGGGGCCCTGGGGGTGCTTGCTGGCTAGGCTCCCGCAGAGCAACCTGCTAGGTGAGCAGGGCTGACCTGGGGTCTCTCTTGGCTTCCAGACCACCCACCTCTTGCCCCCTGAGAGTGCCCACCTCCTTTTGGTGCCACCCAGCGGCAGTGAGAAAGTCTGCCCCGCCCAGTTGGTAGGCCACAGCTGGACCCCTGCTGCCCCCAGACCCAGGAGACGCCTGGCGCGGAGGTGCCATGTCCTGGGACAGCTGCGCAGCGAGTCTCTGGGTAAGAGACTTCACACATCGCTCAAGTCCCAGGTGAAAGCTGTG